AGATGGAGGATAAAGAAAGGGGAGCAGAGCTGCCCGGAGACAGGGGCCGTGTCTGCTGTTGGGAAGGTTTAAAGTTTTAAATGAAAGAAGGAGACCTGTTTTGCTTTGTTTCTGGTCATGCTGATTCTGTGCTGAAATTTCACACAGTGACAGAAGACCAGGCAACGCAAAGACAATGTGCTATTCAAGGCTAACTGGTGTTTCTACCAGGAGGCAGAATCATTTGGGCAACAAAGTTTGGAAGACTATGTTAAAAAAAGAGTTTAATTCAAAGTAGCTTTTGAGGCAGAATTTGTTTAACGGCAACAAAAAGCTGCCATTACATCAAAGGTAAAGGTATAACAGGCAGAATGACTCTAGAGCCTCGTGCGAAATATTTCCTTTAAAATCAAAACTTAAGAGTAGGCTTTTTAAAATGTTTTTAATTGGATATACGTCTGACAAAAAATGTCATTTTAAATCTATATAAAGATCCGGTTACACTAAAACATTTAAAATAAAACCATGACACACCCTGAAAATACCACAAAAAATTATTTATAAAGTCCAGCGTAAGTTAATACCACCATAGTTTATTTTTTGTCAATGTTCTGTCTTGTTCAGTCACTTGTCTTTGGTTTTTCACAGTAAAAAGGAAAAACAATATGGAGCATCACACATTCTGGTTTGTATTCTGAAAAGCTTATCTGCAAAAGACTGCTGAATAAAAATACTGCAGTCCAGTTACATTTCAGGCATGAAACATATTTTTTTATACTTACAGCTGTTTGGCATTGATGGACGTAATGAAATCCCAGCATGTGCAGGAAGAGCCAACATTTCCAGGGACACAAAGAAACACAGGGGAGTGCACAGGAAGACAAACAAAAAATTAATTAATTTAGAAATCTCAGGCAACCTGACAAACCAACTATCCTGTCTCCAGAATCAGCTTCTTTAGTTGTGAGGCCTGCAGGCAAAATAATTCACTAAGCAATACAAGCCAGTTTTTGCTCCTGTAATGTCAGTAGCACCATAAAGCAAGCTTCACCAACTGCTGCAGATTTTTCTTTTCGCCTGTGGCTATAAGAGTATTTCTGCTTCTTACACCAAAGCATCTCCTGCCCACCAACAGCAGCCCACGTGTCTTTTGTGTGATACCAAGACATAATGTGCTGATTTGCCTACCAGAAATGCAATTTAATTTCAGCCGTATCATACTGCCTTAGTTTTGGAAATACTGTAAATTAGGTTTTGCAGACAGGCATGATCAAACAGGTAATTTTTTTAAGTATGAAAATATGAGAACCGACATTTTAAAACTACAACCGTGTGTTTCCTTTCCGGTATTTCGTGATAGGGCTGCTAAAGGAAGTGGTGGCAGGTGAAAGCTAAAGTTTGCTTGTGCAGATTTTAGAAAGCTCTGCTCCGTAGAACACCAAATCTGGTGTTTCAGTTTGACACAGCGACACGGGGGTGGGGGAGCAGGTACAGCATTCTGACTTAGAGGCCACGGTCTGAAGCTAATGAACTTAAAAGTCAAAACATGAACTCTGAGGTACTAGATCCACTTTAATCCAGATTAGATGGCAGCATTGCCTTCCTCCCCCTCCAAACCTGCCACATCCCCCAGAGTTGGCTTTGACTGCCTAACCCAGATACTCCAATCATGGGAGTTTGATCAAATTATTGATCACGCACTAATGCAGCACCCATTCCTAACTAAGAGCTTTAAAAAAAAACATATGGCTTTGCGACTGCGACAACGACACACACTCTTTTCTGCATAGTGCTACTTCATTCTTTCACACGTTTAGAAAAAACGCTAAACCGAAAACCACAACAGCTCAACGCTTCTTGAGGTTGAAAGCATGCAACTTAGCATTAACGTGAGCTGTTTAAATCCGAAATACGACACCAACTTAGCTCATTAGACAAAGTACTAACATTTGTAGACATGCTTTGTAAAAACAGTGACCGGTGGTTAAGGTGTTAGCACATAAAACACATAGAAACGTTTAATGGGAGACTTTGTCGAAGAGCTTAAGACAGGAAATGACACTCCCGTTAGGTTATGCAGCCTGCTCGCGAACCGAGGCTAACAACTAGCTAGCTACAATCCTACTGGAGGCGGGCGACTGGGCGTTGGTTGCTCAGACAACTACACAAGCTAAACCAAGCGAAAGCCAAAATGTTAAATAGTGAATTCCGTTAACTGAAATCATCACGGTTACAGTTTAAAACAATGATTTCTGAAAAATTCGTGACATTAGCTGCCTGTAGCGTTCTCACCCATAACGTTGACGCTCCCTGCCGTCTCAAACACCGATCATTCACAAGCCGACATTCCCCTCACTGCTTTTGCTTGAGTTACGCACAAAGAGGCACGCAGCGCCTCCCACACTCCACGAAACTATGCCAAAAATGAGACGTAAACGTGTACGTGAATCACAAAGGGGAGGACCACTGCAGTCTCGCGATGACAATTAGTTTTCTTTGAGTGCTGGTGTGATCTCGCGAGAATAAACCACAGCCGTTAAAGGGAAACAAAACTCATTCTTTCTTTGTTTCTTTAGTAACAATCTTCTTTTTGATCAGTTTCCCATCCTTCTCAGTGTAGTTACAAAGTCGTGGTCATAGGTTTTACTCGAGAAATGGAAAGGATACATTACAATTAGTGGCTCTGGAGATCCTCCCCCATGAATTTTTTGCGCACTTCATTTCCTGCATTTTCGTGTGTTTTTTATGCGGCAGTTAAATATTTTCTGCCCCGTTTTATGGCGGAAAGGTTCTTGATTGTGTCAAGGAAACATATACTGGGGAAACTAATTTTGTGTTGGTCTCCATATATTATTCTCACCTTTAACCCTTAAGAGCCCAGACCTATTTCTACTTTCATGAAAATTACGGGGGTCTTATATCAAATGAATCATATATAACCAAGTCTCTAAGTGTAAAGAGGCAGTGACACCAGTGTCACTGTGGGTCCTTAAGGGTTAAAAAACTAGCATCACTGCTAGACATATATAAAATACTTTTACTTTTTTTGTCGTTCTGAGATCAGCAGTAACTTGCTGTGCTTAACTGTGCATGTGTTGATATTTCTAGCCTATTTTAATTTATCAACCACTCAATTTTTTTTAATTTGATAGGGACACAGTAGCCTATAGTCACAATACAAAGTATGGGGCTGATGTGCTGCACAGAGAGTTAACGGGATCATTGAAAACAAGGATAAACAAACATCTTTAGATTACCTTGCAAACTTTGCAACAACACATCTAAAATCAAAAGGCAGTGGTTCAGCTTAATTTGTTTATACTACTGGCATCTTCCACCATCCCCCTTTTGCAGCCAGAGGCTAGACTGTGCATCTGCTGAGTAAGATCACAATGAACAACGTTTACCACAAAATATTCAGCAACTGTATTTACTCATAATTCCTATTTGTTGAGTGAACTAGTGAGTGAAGGAGGACTTGCCACTGTCACAGACATAATACACCAATATGGTGCAAATGCATTTGAATACTGGTCTTTGGGGATTGTGGAAATTATAAGAGAAACACGGCACTGAAAGAATCTTGAACTGGAATGTATTATCTCTTCTGCAGCAGCAAAGATGGTGATATAAGTACAAATTTTACATTTTTTAAGGCCTTAGTTAGTTCAAAGTCTGCAAACTTTTCAAGAGCTCTTTATCAGATTTAACTGATGATTCTATTTAAGTAATTAGCATGTACCAGTGAACACTGAAATTACAGTTCATTTAGATAATGCTTCACAACTGCCCAAATAAGTCATTTGAGGCATTCAAAGTGACTCCAGAGTTACTAGACTTGCTGTAGACAGACTTAGGTGTCCTCACTCCAGTGTTGAGATGTGTTGTTGGACGGAGTCTTACTGAAGCTCAAAGATGACTATCAGACCAAACCACAGCCTAAATAACAGCTAACAGTTTTATCATGTATTGAAATAATGGAGGAACACAAAAGACCATAGAAAGCTCCCATTTATACTTACAGAAATGGGGAAAACCACATTCAAATAAAATTGCATATTTGATTTTTATACCACAGTAATGACAGTGTCTCACAATGTCACCCTTGTAAACTGTGAAATCTTAAAAGGTCTTAGTGCAACAATTAAGTCAGTATGGTTTTACTGTGTGGGATTGTAGGACCAGCAATGAAAAATTCCCAGATTTGTGTCTCCACAAGAGGAGCCTGGTGGGTAAAAGCTCTACCTCCATTTGTACTTCTGGAAACTAGAGGAACCATAAATAGGCCTGCAATCTGAGAACGTTGCCAGAAGGACAAATACAGGAAATCATTCATACCTTATGCAATAACTCTTAGCAATGCAACACATCTGTCTAGCAGTTAATCATCTCTTCTCTCATGTTAATATTTTACTTCAAACCTGTACTGTCACAACTTTGACCACTGTGTGTGTGTCAAGGTTTGCTGTTGAGTTTGGAATATTTCACTTTGTTATGGCTGTCACAGGGTACACTCTGGACAGGTTTCCAGGGTGTCACAGGGTTTACACAGAAAAACAGAGAACCATTCATGCTCACATTCACACCTAAGACCAGTTTAGAGTCACCAGTATTTTAAACTCCATGTATGTTTTTATACTATTGGAGGAGTACCTGGAAAGAAACATGCAAAGTCCACTTTTTATTTAAAAGTAACTCTTTCAAACAGTAATGTTTGAAAGATTTACATTCAATTTTTGTCATACTGCATTTTTATATTGACCTGTATAATTATTACCATTATTCATTTTTTTTTAAATTATAGGCTGTTTAACTTAATGTTTAGCTTATATGACAGAATTCCCATTGCTAGGAAACATAAGGAAATTCTGGGTCTTATAATATGTATTCATTTATTCGTTTGTTCTGGACTGTGTTGAGAAGTAATGAGAAAGATTTTAAGTTATTTAAATTTCCTTTCAAATATAAATTATTTATATATATATACGCGTGCCAAGTATTCCGACAGCGTAGCACAAAATACGGCGAGTGAACTGGATGCGCGTCGGTTGTAACCATAGCAACATAGACTAATACTATTTGCTCGTATAGTTGCTGTTGCTCGAATAAAACTAACTCAGGATATTTAATGAGGCCAAATTTCTATAGGCCAAATCAGCTGTCTGCTGCTGGGGGAAAGGTAAGCGACTATAAACGCGACTTTTTTGGTTCGCCTTCTATCAGCGGACCTGTCGTTTTTGGCCAGTGTGAGGTAGCACTGTTGCCACTGAGTTTCTTATGTCTGACTAAATGTGAATATGTGCCGAAATGCTTCGCAGGTTCCTAATGGAAGCAGAGGGGAACGCTGAAAATGTCTGTTAAAAAATTGAAACAAGAAGAAAAACTGACCCCGAAATCCATAGGAACACACAGCAAGTATGCTTGGTTATCTTCTCCTTACAGTTATTTAATTGTTCTTGACCAAGTCCAGAATTAATCTCCGTGATATGAAAAACACAAATCACCTGATAAGCATGTTTTATAGGGCATTTCGTGATCTAAGGAGGCTCCAGTCCCTGCTTGCCAAAAACAGTCCCAGACAAGAGGTGGACAGCAACAACAACACACAACACCACACCAAGGCTGAATGTGTAGACATTTTAATAACAGACCCCACAAACCATCTCACATTGCTACCTATCTGTGTGTATTATTGTGGTGTGAGACTCCTTGTGTTTGCAGGTGGCAGTATTGAGTCACAGTAAAGGATGCAGCAGTGGAACCAGCAGATCCATCCCTCCTCAAAAAAACACAAGTAGACACAGGCCTGAGAGTGACATCAGCAATGAGGCCTCAGAACTGGACAAATTCAGGTTACATTTCCTAAGGACCGCATAAGCTCTGAAATAATATTAACTAAAATCTCAAAGCACACAGTTATGAGTCCAAGTCTTTTTTAATACTAATACAAGTAAGATGCATAAAATCAATACATTAGAGGCCCAGTTGACCTTTATTATGTTGACTCTGAAAATGAAAGAATCGTAGGTTGACTTTGTCTAAGATTCAGTAACATGTGCTACTAATCTCAGCTGGGATTATACTGGTAGAACTGTTTTTCTGTAAGACAGTGATCTGCACTGCTCAAAAAATGATCAAAGTATAGCATTTAGTCAGCTAAACGTCTGGGATATTGATCTGATCTGATCTGATCTGGTCAGTTAAAATGGCAGAGGGAGTTGTTAATCAGTTTCAGCTGCTTTGGTACTGCTTTGTTGATGAAATTAACAACCGTTGTCCTAGAGGAGTAACAATGAGACAATCCCAAAAGAGGAATGGTGTCACAGGTGGATCCCGCTGACATTTTTTCCCTCCTCATCTTTTCTTGCTGTTTTTTTCACTCGTTTGCATTTGGCTAGTGTCACTACTGGTAGCATAAGGTGATACCTACACCCTACAGAGGCTGCACAGGTGTTCCAACTCCTTCAGGATTATTGATCAGAGATCCCCACTACATGCCATTGCCAGAAGGTGTGCTTTGTCCACCAGTACAATCTCATGTGCATGGAGATTCCAGGAGACAGGCAGTTACTTTAGAAGAGCTGGACAAGGCCAGAGAAGGTCACTTATCCTTAGCCCATCAGCAGGACTGCTGTCTGCTCATTTGTGCAAGGAGAAACAAGATGAACACTGCCAGAGCTACAAAATGACTTTCAGCAGGCAACTGATGTGAAAGTCTCTGACCAAAGAATCAGAAACAGATTTAATGTGGGTGGCCTGACGGCCCAATGTCCTTTAGTGGACCCTGTGTTCACTCCCAGCACTGTGGAGCCCAACTGGTATTTGCCATAGAATACCAGAATTGGCAGGTGCATGACTGGTGTACTACAGATCACAGCAGGTTCACCCTGAGCACATTTGACAAACAGGAAAAGGTTGTGGAGCAAATTATGTTGCCTGTAACATCATTCAGCATGACCTGTTTGGTGGTGGGTCAGTGATCGTCCAGGGAGGCATATCTATGTAATATTAATGGGTTGCATTTATATAGCGCTTTTCGAGACCCTCAAAGCGCTTCACAATTCCACTATTCATTCACATACTGGTGGAGGCAGCTACAGTTGTAGCCACAGCTGCCCTGGGGCAGACAGAAGCGAGGCTGCCATATCGCACCATCGGCCCCTCTGGCCATCACATGAAGTGTCTTCCCCAATGACACAACGACCGAGACTGTCCGAGCTGGGGCTCGAACCGGCAACCTTCCGACTACAAGAGGAACTGCCAATTCTTGACACGGGACACACAGACCTCTACAAGCTAGGCAACAGCACTCTGACTACCATTAGGTATTAGGATGAAACCCTTGGACTCATTTTCAGACCCTTCACTGGTGCAGTGGGTAATGGCAGATAAAGGAATTGATACCATTGACACTTGGCTGATCTAAATCCAAAGGAACATCTTTGGGATATTATGTTCATCCAACACCACCAGGTTGTTCCTCAGACTGTCCAAGAGCTCGGTGAAAGCCTGGTATAGATGTAGGAGGAGATCCTCAAGGACACAATTCATCATCTCATTAGAAGCACGCTCCAATGTTCTTGTTCATGCATACAGACATGTGGGTGCTACTAAGCACCATTTTAAGTCCTACAATGAAATTTTGTCAAAACAGACTAATTGGCCCTATTATTTTTTTCCACTTTAATTTTCAGAGTATCTTTGAATTCAGCCCTCTGGAGGTTAATAATTTTAATTCCCATTAAAAACGATTGCATCCTTTCATTCCAAACACAGGACCCAGTCCCTACCTGTATAGATAGCCAGCATAATATTTTTTCCATTGATATCTGATATGTTTTCAAATGTTCCTTTAATTTTTGAGCAGCATATATTGTCTCTTTCTGCTTTTTCTACGTGATTTCTTGTTTATGTTAAGTCTGGTTCATTGGGTAATAAACTTGACTTGGAACATGACTGGATATTGATTTCTCCAGGCAAGTTCCAGCTAAATAATTGCACTACCCTTCCTGTAGCATTGCATTCAGTTTAAATAGTGTTGCTATCTAACTATCTAATAACCTTTCCTTTTTGAAGCACCACACTTTGAGAAATATAAATTAAGTACCTTCAAATTTGTTTTTAGATTCAACAACCTAAAGGGAAAGGTCTTCAGTTAGCTTAAGTTTACATATTAAATGAGCAAGGAAATGTAAGGGTGGCTTGCTAAATTAAGAAAAGTAATATCCACATTCAGATCTTTTCAAAGAGGAAATGTTTATGGACAACTTTAAGTCCTCTCTATACTTCAGGGAAAACAAAAACTGTATTGAGGTTAAATTCTAATCCTAAATGTGACTAAAATGCTTTCAAACTTTTCTGATGTTGGTGTTTGTACATTAATTATACAGTGAAATATTTCTTTAAGGGATTAAATGCAATATGTAGTTCTTTAAAGATAATTGTACATCATTTTCCTGTCATTTACCAGCATAACATACAGAGACCAAAGATGCTTCAGCAGCCACCCGTTGCATGAACTGTTCTCGCACATCCTTGTGTCTTTGATCAAGAACCGACTGTGCAGGTGAAATATGTTTGAAGTACTTAAACATTTCTTCTGCTGTAAAAAATGCGGATAACATCTGTGATAATATTTACTCTTTCAACAGTGAATGGATTGAGCATGCACCTCCTGAGTCAGTCCTTAGAGTTCTCATCTGCCTGCGATTATTGATCAGAGATCCCCACTATCAGGTCCAAGTTTAAAAAACAAAACAACAAACTTTAATTTTTTTATGTTTTTAATTTAATGAAAAAACATTTCTGCAAAATAAAAACAACAAATGCTGATTTTATTTGGTTTGATTTAGAAAATCCTCCATGAGCTCCAAGGCATCAGTTTACTTGCCAGGGTAAATGCCTAATGTAAACAAAGAAGAAAAAAAAAAATCAATGCTTCTTTTGGCCACAGTGATATGATGCCACCCTGAACCCTTCTCTCCTTTGTCTCTCAGTATATGGAGTCTGTCACTGCTCTGTATATGTCGTGTGGGGAGCAGGCGTTTGCCACGCAGAAGCTGGTCACAATGACCTGTGAGTAATCTGAAGGCAGACTCACAGAGAAACACTGATAATATAAGTTGTATTGTCCTTATCAATGGCGGATTAACTGACTGTATTCCAGACATCTTTCAGAAATTATCTGCCACTCAGGATCAAAGAGTCTGGGTCATCGAGAGTGGCGCTCACAGGGTAAGTGATAAGTTGTGACGAGGTTATCTGTGACTGTGTGCTGTTTGTTGTCACTGTTTTGGCATGTCTGGGTTAAACCAGAGAGAGTCAGCATAAGACACTCAAAGAATTCTGGATGGAAATCTGCAGGCAGTGGTGGCAAAAGTATAAAATCTTTTTAAAATGTTATTTAGAGGAAAATCAATGCATTTTTTACGCATTAAAAAAATAGACTAACATTTTCTATGAACACAGTCTTTATACCCCAGAGATCATTGTAATTACAGTTAATTTGGATAATGGTTTGAAAGTGATGTTAAAGTGATTGCCTTGAGGCATTTCAAGCTAATAGGTGCTTCTAGATGAGTTTAACTCTGTAACATAACAGGAAATGATTTGTGTTTAAACCATGGAAAAATACGCTAACAGTGACAATAATGAGTTCAGTTTTTTCCTGCTGACAATAATTTCACAATTATTATATATATAGTTTAATATATATATATATATATATATAGTTATTTTACTATTAATTTTACTGTTACTACTTCCTTTTTGCTTTACATTTGATAACATTATTTAAAAAACATTGTCCATCATAACATTCATCTGTTCATAAGACCTTGGCTTAGAGTAATGTTCTCACAGTTAATAGTAGAATTTCCCCATCATGTTTGTTTTGCAAAGCAAACTTTTAGAAAACTCAAAGAAGCTTTTTCTATTCAGATAAAATTCATTCTTCAGTCTTTCAGAGAACACCTTCACATCACAGTTTTGGTTTAAAACTGGTTATCCCAACAAGAACTATACTGAGGCAAAAATTCTGCTTCCTTTAATATTTACTTTTTCCTACTTAAACTTTGCATTCCAGGGCTTTGTCCTGGCCATTATTCAAATACCTAAAGAGTAAGGTTTTGTATTTCCATCCATCCAGTGTTTTTCTGCCCCTTATCTGAGTCTGGGTCATGGGGTGCAGTAGTCTCTTCTGCATTCCCTAGCCCGCCAAGCATCACGATCTCTCCAGTATATCCTGGGTGTACCCTGGAGTTTCCTCCCAGTTAGACATGCAGAAAAGACCTGACCTAAGAGGTGTCCAGTAGGCAACCTGGTCAGATACATGAACCACCTCAACTGGTTCCTTTCAATGTGGAGGAGTAGAGGCTGCATTCTGAGTCCCTCCTGAATGGCTGAGCTCTTAAATATATCTCTTGAGTCCAGACATCCTTCACCGGAAGCTAAATCCTATTGCTTGTATCTGTGATCCAATTTTTTTAGTCACTACCCACAGATCAGGGCTGTAGGTGAGGGAAGAAGCATAGATTGACTTGTGTGGTTTTTCGTAATTTTTTTGCCCAATGCTTTGTCATTTGGGAAAGTACTAATGAGGATTGATGACACTTTGCCATCTCTTCATTTCTATTTCCTTTTGTAAATGAATACCAACTCTGACTGTGGTAGACTATGGCAAAACTCCTCTCCACAACTGATAGCAGTGTGCTACTGGGAGCCCTGCTAGCACTCACCACTTTGGCTGAGAGGTAAGTAAATGTTGCACCGAAGACTATACATACAAGGACAATTTCATCTGTTACAAGATTTTCTTCTCTGTAGCATAGAATTTAAAGAGGAGATTGGGAAGCTACTGATAGTGGAGAGCCTCCTTGTAATACTTCAGGAATACGACCTCCTGTCAAAGAGGTAAGAAAGCACTACTAAGTTGTTATTCTAATTTATGGAAAAGGTTTTTTCACCC